ATAATAAAATACACAGTCAACTTACAAGGTAACTACTCTTTTTAACAGGCCCTTTGGCTTAATTTGGATTCTTCTTTCCAACTCATAAACGTGACCACTGATGGGACAAGTGTCCTTAGAGATGACAAGATGAATACTGAAGATGGGATTGGTGTTTAGAACCAAATCAGTATTTAGAAACTGGCACCAGTGGAATTTAGAACTCCTGGCTCCAGGGGAGGACACTGAGGGATATAGAAGAGGATGCTCTTTATAAAGCCCCAGTTGGTGAGTACATGAGACATGCTTGAGCTGTGTGTTGCACACCTGGCTGAGTGGAACAGCCCTGGACCCTCACATCCTCCTGGATCTCTAGGACAATGACAGTGGCAGAAACAGTGCAGCTCCATGACCCCTGTCATCAGCACAAACTTAAAGGTAGCCTAAAGGATACCAGCCTCATCTCCCTGAAGCAGAAAGGGGCTGGAAACTGAGTTCAACCGTATGGCCAAGAATTCAACCAATCATGCCTATATGATGAAAGCCCAATAAAAACTTTGGATACTGAAGTTTGGGTGAACTTCCCTGGTTGGCAATACTCTTGAGTGTTGCCTGTAAAGGAGGTAACACCATCCACGATTCTACCTGGAGAAGACAACAAGAACTGCATTCGGACACCATCCAGACCTGTGCACCTTTATTTTGGCTGGTTCTGATTTTTTGCTGTAATAAAAGTCTAATCTTAAGTTTTAAAAAAAGTGACCAAAAGGAACATATGACAGGATTTTTACTTTGAAAAGCTTCAGAGTTAATGGTCCTCAGAGAGCACAATGTATGAAGGAAATTTCTCCTTTTACCTGTAATGTTCCTTTCCCAGCTTCCCTTCCCCTCCTCTCCTAAGGCTACATTATCAGGAATTTGGGGCGACTTCCCTGTTTAGTAGGATGAGGTGAAGGCAGAGGAATGGGCACTGCAGCATTCTAGATATTTACTCATCCTTTTTCCTGGCCAAGGAGCCAAATGGCAGCCATTTAAAAAAATCTGGAGTTGGGTCCTCATTTATATTTTAAAAGACTTTAGCTGAACTGGGTGATTCCATTTGTATTACATGGGTCCTATGAACACAGAACAATGAAATCTCTTCATAAATGTAACACCACATTTAGGGATCAAGAGTAATTGGTTAGGAAAAGACAGACACTTGTACCTTTTTATCACTAGTGGAAATACTGCTCCTTTCCCCTGCCCCAGCCAAGTCAATTAACTGACCCACTAAGGGCTTTAAGACATTTGGAGGGAAAGCAGATGAAGTACAGAAGTAGAAATTTGAGATAAACATGACTTTTATTTAGTTCAAGACAATGTGTCTTCTAGTCTCTTGAAGTGATTGTGGTGATGACCAGAGACTCAAAGCAGAAATCAGATTCCATGGATGAAGTAAGTCCAGGAGAGGCTTATGAAATTCATTTACAGACATGCTGAAAATACCCAAATTGGACATGGGGTATGCAGGAAAAACTCCTGCCACCACCTCAGGCCATGAATTTGCATAATTTTCAGAAGAATTTTTATAAAATCTCAGAAGGAACCTGTATGATTTTGATTCAAGTCTATGATACAATGGGACACAGATTCATGAGCCTGTGGTCATAGTTTTACCAAAAATTTTACCAAACTATGGCTTACCAAAGTATCTGAGGAAGGCACCGATCATTTTTGCTAAATGGCAGTTGACCTAAACAATTAGGAAGAAGATGAAAATAGTGTGGAGAAGCTGGACTTATCATCAAATGTCTCTCTTGTGGACTGCCAGGGCTCCCCACTGTGCCCTGGGTTCTACTCTCCCTACAATATTGTAACAACCTGCTATTATAATAACCTGTTGACCTGCAAGTCTCCCTAAGATCCTTCCAGCCAACGTCTGTGTCCTGTTTATTGCTGCAACCTCTCTGCCCAACACAGAGGAGATGACCAATCGTGTTCATGAAGTGAATCAATGAATGAATGAAGAGTAGAGTGTTCCCTTCTAGAGTAATTAATTCTACCTTGCCTAAATTAAGCCCACTTCTTGACATGTGAGGAAATGAGTGGTTATATTACAGAGCATGCAGACATAAATGATTATCTCGTTTAATAATGAGCTGGGACCAATAATAAAAATTGTTTGCCTGTTGTTCCTTAGCTACTGCTCTACCAAGTAGCCTGATCTGTTAACTGATATTAAAGATCTAATTTAATTAAATCTTGAACAAGTCTTAGAAAACCTAGCGAGAGCACTCTGTTTAATTACCGGCAGAGGGCAAGCACCAATCTTATTCATCTGGTCAGTTCAAATTCTTTACAATGAATGTGGGCAATGAAAAACAAAAACAAAAACACAGCTTCTACTGCTTTTCAGGCAAGTCTGCTGAGCTGTGAATCCAGACCTGCTCTGAAGACAGCAAAGGCAAACAAGCCATGTATCATGTGGTATCAGAGAATGGAAATGAAATGGTACCTCAGTCCTTCCAAAGAGCTATGCATCATGAAGAACAGGAGAAAATGACCCACAAAAGACAGATTCCTCCTCAAGGAAATGAAATATATTGGGGAGAGTTGGGTGGAAGTGATCCAACATTTAAAGTCTACTGAATGGGCATTCAGAGGCAGCTTAGCAAATTCTACCAGACGCACAATTACTTTGAAATACAGAGAAATTAGTCATGGGTAGGTGTACAGATTCCTGAGGACATTTCCAGTTGAAGAGACACGAGTTCCTCAACATTTTATTACTTAGATATAATGGAAATATAGATCATGTAAAACCTCAAAACTTGAAAGGTAATAAGTGTGATTAGAAAAAAGGTTGTCTAAGTGCTTTATGAGTATTAATTAACTTTCCTGCATTAGATACTATTCTTATTCCTGCCTCATGGTAGAGTCAACTGAGGCACAGAGAGGTTAGTAAACTTGCTAAAAGGTTCATGGTGACTTGGTATGTCAAGCTGTGACCCCAGATACCTCTAATAGTATTGCCCCATTATGCTGTTTTTGTTGGTTTGTTTTTTGGATTTTTTAAAAAAAGATTTTATTTATTTATTCATGAAAGACACAGAGAGAGAGAGAGACAAGGCAGAGGGAAAAGCAGGCTCCATGTAGGGAGCCCGATGTGGGAATCGATCCCGGGACCGGGGGAATCACACCCTGAGCTGAAGATAGACATTCAATCACTGAGGCACCCAGGCATCTCTTTGTTTTTGATTTTAAAGATTTATGTATTTATTCATGAGAGACACACAGAGAGAGGCAGAGACACAGGCAGAGGGAGAAGCAGGCTCCCTAAGGGGAGCCTGATAGAGGACTCAATCCCAGGATTCCAGAATCATGACCTGAGCTAAAGGAAGATGCCCAACCACTGAGCCAACCAGGCACTCTCCATTATGCTATTCTTAACACTAACCTCCAGAGTGGGAGAAAATACTTGCATGAAGGGGGACTGGCTTTTCATCCTCTGCTTGTCACAATCCAGGGCTGTCTTGCACTTTAGTAACTCAAGTTTAGAGGAGGAAATTTATTCTAAACTACAATATGTAATTATACCTAAGACCAACATTTCCCTCACAAAACTTGTACCACCAGAATGTGAACGCTAAGAGCAAGCACACCTAATTAGGGCATTACTCATAACAACGAGGGAGTGTAACCCAGGAAATTCCAGGTGGTGTCGGCCTCAGCACTAAGTACATTTCATCAGCTTGCCCTGATAAAGTCTTTGCTGACTGGGATGATTTATACCTGCTGATGCAAGTGTGGAGAATGGTAGCCCATACAGCTGGGGATGGAAAATAAGCTTAGGCATGTGAGTGCAGACAAAATCATGCTCCGATATGAGAGGTAGGAATGCTGGCCTTTCAATTATGACACTAGCCACAAATGAGGACAGGAGTTGATAATGTTCAAAAGTAGTAATTTCTTTCATATTCACAAATCATGGCAACCAAGAGAACTTGTGTGTGTGTTTAGAATAGGATGATGTACACATGCTGATCTTCCTGAAGACAGGTTATTGCCAAGGTGTTCTTTAAAAGTAAGGGAGAAAGCAATGGTGAAGGATGATGTACTTTCCCCCCTAAGTCAACTTTAGCTGTGTGCAGAATTGCCAGTCAGAGCACAGCTAGAAAGCAAGCTGCTAATATTGCCAGGATTGAGAAAGAGAGTATAGTTGGTCTAGTAATTCAAAGTGAAGTTCAGAGGGAATGTTTCTGATTGAAGAATTCATTGCTCTACCCCAGACCAATCACAGATTAAATTCACAGCCAAACAAAGAAGTACTTGTGGGTTCCTGAGAAAGAAACTCTGTCTTTGGACAACTGAGTGCTTTAACTATTTTGCCAAACATGACTCCGCTGAAACATGAGCTCCTTTAGCAATGCATGTATTTCCTAAGCAAGTTGTTCTCAATGCTGCTCTAGGCCACAGAACCATTTGGTATGTTGGGGTGAATGCTGGGAATGACATACTCATAAATACATATACACATATACACACATATGATCATCATAACCGTAATAAATGCAGTAGAGGTGAGGACATTTCACATTAGACTCATCCAGATAAGTGAGAGCAGATACTACAGATTTAAAGAAAATTTTATAGAAGAAGCTGCAAAGGGGAAAATTCTATATATTTCTGCCAATTATAAAATATTACTAGCCTATCTTAAAAGAACATTTTAATTGAGCTTGGGGAAGACGTGCATGTCCTGGAGAATGGTTTGAGAATCACTGCACTGATATAATTTTACCATCCACTTAGATTTGTGTTTCCGAGAACAGTGTTCTTTTAAAATCTTACCTGCACACCTCAGCACTTCAAACTACTCCCCTTTTGAGAATGACTTCATGATCGGAAAGGGATGGAGATTCCCAAGACTAGAGATGCCACAAAACTCTCGGAGCTGCCCTTGGCTCTGTATGCTTGTTTGCATCCCGGCCCCGCAACCTGGGGGAAAGACTCGGCTGTGTGGGACCTGGCGTGCTCACCCTCCTCCGGAGCCGGTCCCGCTCCTCCCGGATGGCATTCATGGTGGCCTTGGTTCTGTTCAGCTCCTCTTCTTTACTGCACAGCATGGCGGTCAGGCTCTCATTCTCTTCCCTCAGCCCGGCCAACTCCTTCTCCCAACGAGACCGCTCTTCAGCCAGGTTGGGATACAGGTCCCGGCCAAGTACCCCCTCGATCTCCTCAACTGTCTGGAAAACATAAAGACAAGCCCAGTGGGTTCCCTGGGAGAAGGGGGAAAAAATGGGCAGTATGGGAGTGTGTGACGACAGAGGAGCGGGTTCTAAGGCACTTTCACTGCCAATGGTAATCATGACTACCCACCCCTCCCCCCAATCACCCTTTCCCCATTTCCAGATAATGGCTCCGTCATTTGCCTGGGTCACAGTCTGTATTTCCAAACAGTCCCCAGAATAAGAAAAACATGGTCCCTTCATGGTCCATTTGTCTACCGTTGGCTTTCACGGCCTCATCTACACAAGTGCTGAGGTCCTCCGATGCATGTTCTGGAGTTGGAAAATACATATAACCACACAGCAAGCACTTTAGTGGCCTTTTCATAGTGCAAATGTGAAGTGGCAAACAGCATGCAAGAGCTAAATTGAGGTTTCTCGAATGACAGGCCTCCCATGTTGCAACTCCAGGAGACCAGAAGTCACATTACCATTTCCAGCTTTTAGTGTCACACATCAGAATTCAGGGGTTCAGTCCCAAAATGTGAAAGACAAAAATAAACCTCGGTGACACAGAAAGATGAAGCTCATTTTGGATGCTTCTGAGGCAGCAGGGATTTAATTAATTAATAAGACAGCTATGAGCTAAAAAGAACAGAATCTTAATAGTACTTGGAGAGTGTTTTTTTACAAATTCATTTAAAACACATTATTAATGGAGAGGAGAGATGCATAAAGTTAGGGGGGAAAAAAGAAGTAATTCTGCTTGCTTTCAGAAACTATTCATTCACATCCATTGCCCTTTGGCATAGGAAGCAGAAGCCAACTGATATGGAAAAGATGGACGATTACCATGTAGGGTAGAAGACAGATGTGAGGGGATGTGAGGAGAAACAGGCAGTCTCAAAAATGCAAGAATGTGAGGGGATTACATTCTTGGACCCTTGGACTCCCACATTGGTTCCATGATGAAGTTACCCAAATCTTGCCATGACTTTCCACACATGGGGCTTCATCCTTTCCCTCAGACCTGAGACTCTTAGTCCCTCATCAGTCGATTCAGGTCCATTCCGTTCTCTGCTGGCTGGCAGAAACCCTTGAGCCCCTCCTGCTCTCTCAGTGTCGAGGCTGGGGCTAGCACCTAAGCGGACATTACAACTGAATACAAGGCCTGGGAGACTCCAGCCAAAGAAACACCAGTGGCTGCCGCCCCAAACCACAACAACTTTTTATTTATAATTGAGATGAATAAGATGGAAAACCAGCTGGGTTATCACTGTGAATTATGGTTTACCTTGAGATACCACAGCTCTTTTGTGAAATCCAGGATTCCTATGGACAGAAACTTGGACCTAGTGTCAAAGACATTTTTCAATAACATGTCATATTTTCCCTTTATGTAGGCTCCTGGAGCCTACATAAAGGTTTGAATTGCTATGCCTAGGCTCCTCAGCTGTGGTGAAGTTATATACAGATAGCAGAGGCCCTGGTATCAATAGGCCTTGGTGTTCCTATTGCTCAGGAGGAGTCAGTGCAGATGCAGCACATTCCTCATCTGTGCTCACTAAGCACTAAGATGGATGGCTATGCAAGGTGTGGCTGAGGCTAGTCCTGTGTGCTCAGGACACATGACTCATTCAGTCCCTCAACTTCCCTCTTGTTAGCACCATGAATTGGTAACTTCTGAACTAATGGTCTAGAGGTCTTAAAGCTTAAATAAAATGTCCCAGTTAATCCTACAACTCACAAGTGCTGCATGATGGGCCACCCTAAAATGATATGGTACAATACAGGTAGTCTAAGAATTTTCAAGGAAATCCTCATTTCTGATGCAAAGCCAGTGATGATCTTGACTGCTGACATGACTTTTTTTTAAAAAAAAAATTTTATTTATTTATTCATTCATGAGGGACACACAGAGAGAGAGGCAGAGACACAAGCAGAGGGAGAAGCAGGCTCCATGCAGGGAGCCCGATGTGGGACTTGATCCCAGGACCCCAGGACCACATCCCAGGCCAGAGGCAGGTGCTAAACCGCTAAGCCACCCAGGGATCCTGACTTTTTTTTTTTTTTTAAACATGACTCAGCCCAACACAAATTTATAGGGCTCCTACTTCTCCCTAGTGGCCCAATGTACAGTATGGTTTTCTTAGAAACATTCATTCCTAACAGGTATTTGAGAAAACCATGCTTCAAAGAAGAGAGATCTGATCATTTCCCTCATATGCTCTCAGAGAGCCAGACCAAGGGTGGGAAGCATATACCTTGATGGCCAAGTCACAGTGCTCACTGGCCGTGGTGAGCTGCTCAATGCGCCTGTCCACTTCGGCCACAGAAAGGCTGCAGCTGCTCTTCTTCCTGCAGCAGACAACATTCTCCAGGCCTGTCAGCACTCTCTGCAGCTCTGAGTTCAGGTCACTGCAATTATCTGTGAGTGAATGTGGAAACGATGAGTTAAGCAGGCAGGTGGGTTAGGAATGCTCTCTGTTTCACTCAGAAACAGAGGAACCCAGTCGGGTAAGACGGAATGGCAATAGAGCTTGATATTCTTGGCTTTAATGCTATGTGGCCTCATGTCATAGGCTATTGGCATCATCTCTGAGCCTTAGAGCCAAGGTAAAGCCATTATTAAGGAGTTTCAGACCATAGCCACTTTCTAGACAGCCATGCCACTCTAAATGCTCTAGTCTTTCACTGGAAGGCAGCTGTGTCTCAAATTCTTTGGTACAAACAAGGAAAGGTCTCAGAAGGGAGCTGCTGGGACTTCAGCAACCTTCTGGTCAACCTTCCTCCTTAACCATTCAGACAAGTATAGACTCCAGAAAGACTTTTAGCAAAAATCTCAGAACTCTACTAAACAAACAAAACAAAAAGGCCCAGAGTGAACAGAGACACTAGGCATTTTTTTTTAAATAAAAACTATAAGAGATAATTTTTGCCTCCATTGAGCTTATAATCAGGACTATTTTCTGATATGACCAATCAATGCATTAAACCATTGCAATTTAACCCACTTTTCCATCAGGGGAAAAGTAAACTATTCTAATAAAGTTCATATTGTTCTCCATCTAAAAGTCTTGTAAACCATTCTAACATTTGATTCTGACTTAAAAATCTGGGTTACTTTTTAAATGAGAGAAAGTGCATGCAAGAGGCGGGGGGCAGGGTGCAGAAGGAGAGGGAGAGAGAGAATCTTAAGCAGGTTCCATGACCTGGAAGACCTGGAACTCAATCTCACAACCCTGAGATCATGACCTGAGCCAAAATCAAGAGTTGGATGCTTAACTGACTAAGCCACTCAGGTGCAAACCCTGGGTTACTTTTAATTGCTGGATATCTAGGACCTGATCTGGGAAGAAAAATTAATTATAATTTTAGTATGAGCTACAAGTATTTTAGAAGATAATTTTGTTGGGGAAAAAATCCCCTTTAGGTCAAACACAACCTGCTATTTTGGATTACAGCAAGAAGATGTAACTTATAAGCCATCTCTAAAAGTGCATTCCTCCCCTACCTCCAGTCTGTCTCACATGAAAGAAGCTCAGTCTCTTCAATTTCTCTTTGTTCCTTCTCCCTTCTTGTCATAGGTTCCATGCACTTAAACAGTCTATTACTTTCAGTGCTTATCTTTGGAAGATGTCAAAAAACTCAGTACCACAGAAACAGAATATATCGGTCAATCTTATTTGACTGCCTGGATCTCCAAGTTAACCTGAATCTAGAGAGACGACAGCCAGAGGCTTTCACACTAACCAATGGACACAATTATTCCCCTTCTCTCACATCTGTTCCTTCCCATCTCTATGAATGACACTACCATCTGCTCAGTTACTCAGGTTATCTGTCAGGCAAGCTTCATTTCCTTTGGCCTCACATCCTAAACCCAATCCATCTTGGGAGTGCAACCTCCAAAATGTATCCCCAAAGGCACCTCTTCTTTCTATCTCTACCGATACCACCACAGTTCAGGCTACCATCATTTCTTCACTGAATCACCTGAACAACCTCCAGCCTCCATTCCCCACAATGCAGCCAAAGTGAGCCTCTCAAGGACATAAGTCAGATGTTACTCCCCTAGCCCAAATCACCTAATGGCTTCCCTCTGCCATTCAGCTTGAGTCCAAACTCCTCACCAGAGTCTGTAAGACTCTGCATGCTCAAGACTGATGATGTTCTCAACCCAGGCTGCACTGTGGAATTTACTATGGAGCTTTTATAAATAACCCATGTCCAAGCCACAGCCCAGACCAATTAAATCACAGCCTCTGGGGGTGGGGCTGGAGCACTGAGAAAAATCTTAAAGTTCTTCAGATCACTCTCCTATGCAGTTAGGGTGAGAACAACGGATGCCTCATTTGCCCACCACCTCCTCATTCACCCTACTGCATTCACGCGTCTGACCCCTCCATCCTTGGAGCATGCTAATCTTCTGTCTGCCCCAGGGCTTCTTTTTCCTTTGCTGTTTCCTCTGCCAAGACTGATATCCACCCAAGTCTCCATTTACTCAAGTATCCACTCAGATGCCACCTCCTCATCAAACTCTTCCCTCTCTAAGGCATGGGGTTTCCAGCTCTCTGCCTGCTCAGGCTCTACCCCATTATCCTATCATCCTCATAGTAATTACCGCTATCTGATCTGACTTATGTGTTTATTATCTGTTCTCTGCTGAAATATGAGCTCCAACTAAGAAGAAACTTTGATCCTCCTCACCACTCTATCTCCATCATAGAATAATGTAAGCAATTAAGACTTATTTTCAAGTCTTAAATACTTGAATACACGTATCATGTATTTAAGAGACAGACTGGAAACACAGACTGCCAGTAGCAGCATGTTTTACATCAACCTTATGTTTTTTTGTCGTCATTGCAGACCATTCCCTGAGCTGCTAACAAGTGGTAGACATTCCTTGCTGCAGAAGGCCCTCTAGAGATGGAGTACAGGTACCCACTAAAAACTCAAGGCAAGGTCCAGGGCATGCAACTGGAACTGTCTCTCAAGCACATTAATTCTAAGTAATAATCAGAGAAATTTCTCCAAATGGTCATTTACCTTGAGGTGCAAGATTCCTGGTACACTGAGCTGGAGTTAACATACACTCCTGAATTATTTGCATTATTAAGTGTTTATGAGAGGGATGAGGAAGAAAGATGCCTGTGTTCAGCCATTCCATCTGGAGTTCCCTAGCACAGCTCCACCTAATATAGTGATCACACTGGGTATAGCTGCTGATGGGCTCTGTTGGCAGGACATGAACTAGGCTGTATGTTGATGATGTTGGGCTATAGGAAACAGGAGGGAGGGTGAATAAGTCTGGCCAGTACTTTTAAATTTAATTTTATTTATTTATTCATGAGAGACACACGGAGACAGGCAGAGACATAGGCAGAGGGAGAAGCAGGCTCCCTGTGATCATGCCCTGAGCCGAAGGCAGAGGCTCAAGCACTGAGCCAGCCCCTGGTCAGTACTTCTTTCTCATCACTTAACCAAACAGGTGCTGAGTACTGACCTCAGGTAGAAGCAGGGTACAAAAATGAATAGGAGACTCTCCTCAACCCTGAGAGGCTCACAGATGTACGAGGAAATGCCACAGTCCCTTCTCTTAGCTGTCTACTACCACCTTGGGGAGAGTAACCACAGAGAACGTGGTACTAGTACAGGATAGAGAATCAGGAGATGAGAAGGTTATGTAATACACAGACTGAAAACAACTGAGCTTCTTCCCTTTGCCCCAAAGAGCACCATTAATGCTTTCTTCGGTCTTAGGAAGCCAAATGTATAAATAAGGCACAGGTTGGATGGTGAGCCCCACATACTCTGGCCTGTTATCCACTGTGGTTCTACACAAGACCCTAGTGATCAGGTGACATGTGGCTGTCTTTTATCATTCTTCAGTTTAGGAGGACAAGGTGGCTAGGCTGGCAGAAGCAGCTCTTCTGGGTTCCCCGTCGGAGTGCCACCGCACAGCACCACCATTCACTCTGAGCATCAGTGTCACTCCATACAGGGTGGACTTAGCTTTCAGAGTCTGTGGCATATTCCTCTAGATATTGACTTGGCATCAATTCTAAATTCCTTCTCCTGGCCCACAGTGCTCTGCATCATCTGGCCCCTGCCACAAACAAGAGCTTCAACACCCTAGGCTGAGGCAGTGGGTGTCTCTACAAAAGGCAAGAGAGATTAAGAGACCAGAAGAGCAGGATAAACTGAGACAGGCACCAAGTATTTCAGACTGTGCAAAAGGTGCCTCATTTACAAATCAAAGCCACAATGAGATATCACCTCACACTCATTAGGATGGCTACTATTTACAACAACAGAGAATAATGTGTTGGCAAGGACATGGAGAGAAATTTAGCATCCCTGTGCCCTACAGCGGGGAATGTAAAATGGTGCAATTGTTGTGAAAAACAGTATGGCAGCTCCTGAAAAATTGGAAATAGAACCTCCCTCCCATCCAGCAATCCCACTTCTCAATCCAATTTCAAAAGAATTGAAAGTAGGGCTCAAATAGATACTTGCACACCCATGTTCTTAGACACCTTATTCAGAACAGTCAAAGGTGGAAGCAACCCAAGTGTCCATTGACCAATGAATGGATAAACAAAATGTGGCAAATATACACAATGGAATGTTATTCAGCCTTCAAGATGAAGGAAATTTGGACACATGCTACAATATGGATGAACCTTGAGAACATTATAGCAAGTGAAGTAAGTCAGTTACAAAAGGACAAATGTTATATGATTCTCCCTAGATGAGGTATCTAGAGACATAAAGTAGAGCTTACCAGGGGATGGAGGAATAGGGCAGTACTGCTTAACAGGGTTTCTGTTTGGGAGGATGAAAGAGTCCTGGAAATGGATGGTGGTGAGGGTTGCACAACTCTGAATGTAGTTACTGCCACTGAACTCCACACCTGTCATGTGTGGAGTTCCACACCATGTGGTGTGCTCCACACCAGCACAAGGACCACATGGAGGCCAACCCACTGCAACATCTCAGGCTGTACTGTGATTTAAGAAAGGTGATGGCTTGGTCCCACATGCAGAGGACAAAGAGGAGGCCCTTCGCATAGAATACACATTCTTTCAACAGAGGTTATTTTTATCTTTCCAAAGAAAACTTTGAAGTAACATGTAGCTAACACCCACACATAAGGGGCAAACACAGTGATGGAACCAGGGAAAGGCCAAGGATGCAAATGGAGGCTCACAGAGCTGCTGGGGGAGACTCTCCCACTTAGCCCTGAGCTTCCTGGCAGCAAGAGCAAAAATGAAATCTCTCCTGTCAAAGAGGAAGCATTCCAGTTTCACAAGAGAAACAATGTGTTTTTAGCAACTGATGCTAAAAGAATTTAGGGATATGGGACTTCATATGTGCTGTAAAGCAATGTGATTGCCAGGATCCTCAGATCCAGATCCAGTT